ATTGTCTCCGCCTGCTCCTGCCCCACCGAACTGATCTCCAACTATCTAGACTCCATTTTCTCCCCCTTGGTCCAGGAACTCCCTACCTATGTCCGTGACACCACCCACGCCCTCCACCTCCTCCAGAACTTCCAATTCCCCGGTCCCCAACACCTCATCTTTACCATGGACGTCCAGTCCCTCTACACCTGCATTCCCCATGCAGATGGCCTTAAGGCCCTCCGCTTCTTCCTGTCCCGCAGGCCCGACCAGTCCCCCTCCACTGACACCCTCATCCGCTTAGCCGAACTCGTCCTCACACTCAACAACTTCTCTTTCAATTCCTCCCACTTCCTACAGACAAAGGGGGTAGCCATGGGTACCCGCATGGGCCCAAGCTACGCCTGCCTCTTTGTAGGTTACGTGGAACAATCCCTCTTCCGTACCTACACCGGCCCTAAACCCCACCTCTTCCTCCGTTACATTGATGACTGTATCGGCGCCGCCTCGTGCTCCCACGAGGAGCTCGAACAGTTCATACACTTCACTAACACCTTCCACCCCAACCTTAAGTTTACCTGGACCATCTCTAACACCTCTCTCCCCTTCCTGGACCTCTCTGTCTCCATATCGGGCAACCACCTAGAAACCGATATTCATTTCAAGCCCACCGACTCCCACAGCTACCTAGAATACTCCTCCTCCCACCCACCTTCCTGCAAAAATGCTATCCCCTATTCCCAATTCCTTCGCCTCCGCCGCATCTGCTCCCAGGATGAGGCATTCCACTCCCGTACATCTCAGTTGTCCTCGTTTTTCAAGGACCGTAACTTCCCCTCCTCGGTGGTCGAGAACGCCCTCAACCGTGTCTCCCACATCTCCCGCACCTCATCCCTCACACCCCGTCCACGCAATAAAAACCAAAAAAGAATCCCCCTCGTCCTCACGTACCACCCCACCAACCTCCGGATCCAACGCATCATCCTCCGACACTTCCGCCATCTGCAATCCGACCCCACCACCAAAGACATCTTTCCCTCCCCACCTTTATCTGCTTTCCGGAGGGACAACTCTCTCCGTGACTCCCTCGTCCGCTCCACACTCCCCTCCAGCTCCACCACACCCGGCACTTTTCCCTGCAACCGCAGGAAGTGCTACACCTGCCCCCATACCTCCTCCCTCACCCCCATCCCAGGCCCCAAGAAGACTTTCCACATCAAGCAGATGTTCACCTGCACATCTGCCAATGTGGTATACTGCATCCGCTGTACCCGGTGTGGCTTCCTCTACATCGGGGAAACCAAGCGGAGACTCGGGGACCGCTTTGCAGAACACCTACGCTCGGTTCGCAACAAACAACTGCACCTCCCAGTCGCGAACCATTTCAACTCCCCCTCCCATTCCTCAGACGACATGTCCATCCTGGGCCTCCTGCAGTGCCACAACGATGCCACCCGAAGGTTGCAGGAACAGCAACTCATATTCCGCTTGGGAACCCTGCAGCCCAATGGTATCAATGTGGATTTCACAAGTTTCAAAATCTCCCCTCCCCCTACCGCATCCCAAAACCAGTCCAGCTCGTCCCTGCCTCCCTAACCTGTTCTTCCTCCCACCTATCCCCTCCTCCCACCTCAAGCCGCACCTCCATCTCCTACCGACCAACCTCATCCCGCCCCCTTGACCTGTCCGTCCTCCCTGGACTGACCTATCCCCTTCCTAACTCCCTACCTACACTCACCTTTCCTGGCCCCATCCCCGCCTCTTCGACCTGTTTGTTTCTTCTCCACCTATCCTCTCCTCCATCCCTCTTCTATCCGCCTCCCACTCTCTCCCTATTTATTTCAAAACCCCCTTCCCCTCCCCCTTTTCTGATGAAGGGTCTAGGCCCGAAACGTCAGCCTCTCTGCTCCTATGATGCTGCTTGGCCTGCTGTGTTCATCCAGCCCTGCACCTTGTTGTCTCGGATTCTCCAGCATCTGCAGTTCCTACTATCTCTGAGTAAGTTTACTCCTGTGACTTCCTGAATCCTTTCTCTGTGAATTTTATGCTCTCTTTCGCCTTCATTTACTTTCTATCATATCATGGATTTGTCCACAGAAAAATAGGAATTATGTTTTTTCCTAGCTCTGCAAGGCTCCCAGAACAGTATTTCCACTTGAGCCATATCACTTTAATTTTCCTACCTCTGGGATAACAACTTACTGTGAAGGTCTGCAAGAGGACCTTTGCACAAGAAACCATGTCTTATTCTTTGACCTACCACTTGGAACAACACCATGTTTTACCTATTGTATCACAGTTCTACGCTTTCTATTTACATAATCAATAGTTTTAAATTGAAACAGTTTTTGAAAGAAAAACATGACAAAGGAATAAATTGTACAATAATGTTTATTAGCTGTTCCCCTCTTGACAATGGAATGGATTAGATGAGAGTCTGTACAAACTGCAGCACCAGAAGGGTCAAGTGTACTGAACTGTTTGTAAGCACATTATTCCTATATAAAACATATCATTTCCAAATTACTAGCAAAGGTTGGGTACCAGGCAGTTAATCTAAATGTAGTGTTAAAGTTTCATTTGAGAACATACCCTATAACTGCTAAAATATATTTTCTCAACACAGAAGCCTCTGATTGAGAGCTACATGGAAGATATGACATTTTTGCAATTCCCACTTGCAAATGTACATAAAATGTAAAAATTATTTTATTTCAAATTGCTTTTAACATTTTGAAAACATGCACATCACTTCGAATAACCTCACATAGAAATCACAGGGATAGGTAAGGGGGAAAGAGGAGATCTGGTTTCTTTTGCATTTTAATTCTTGCATTTATTCTCAAAATACTGTTTCACCCCCATCACCACATTTCCCATATGATCCTTATGGTTAAAATGATAACACTAAGTCAGGTCTAAAAAGAAAACATTCATGAAGAGAGATGGTTAAAAAGGAATAAAATATATGTGCAGCTATTTTAAAGAAACATATTCCTGGTAAGTTATATAGTATATTTTGTTAAAAGTATGCATAATATAGTTGATTATTTATATCAAAATACATAGTTACTGAGGGTTAATTATTTATATATCTTAAAATCTCAAGTTTACGCTCCATTACAAATATCATGATTAAGTTTCAGTTCCAATCCTCAGCCAAATCCATTTCCTCATTTATACTCACCCCATTTCCCAGTTCATTCTTTTTTGAAAATTCCTATTGAAAATCATGTCCGTTATCTTTTTAAAATAATCATTATATTTACTTGCTTCTCTTTGCTTCCCCCCCTCAATCAAATTCATAAAAGTAGATTTTCTACAAGAGTGAAAGTAAATTATTCTCAATGTCACTTGAACACATTCTCACCGGCATTCAATATAATCATATTCAGTTATCGTGCACTTGAATTGGCAAAAGGAAAAACAAACATAAAAGCACGGTTTGTAAAGAACCCTTGTAAAGTGAATAAAAATTCCTTTGTATTTTAAAGACTGATGTTTCATAATTTGTTCAAAAAAAGCAGAAATTATTGAATGAGCGCCGAAATGAAAAGTTAAGGACAGCTCAAATTATGGCTTGAGCAAGTAATGCAGGTAGACAGAACAAACAAAGTCATTAGGATTTCCACTGCCAAACCATGCTTCAAAAGTTCATCGTGCAAAAATCTGCTTAGAATTATTTAGTTTCTAAACCCAATGCTAAACATGAAGATTACTTTTCCTTTCTTTCAGTTTATTATTAAAAGAAAAATATATATAAAGCTTTTCCGAAAATTGCTGAAGAATTGTTGCCCTTAAACATTAAGGAACTGTACCATAGAATCTCCCTTCAACAGTTAGTCAGGCCTTTCCCCTTCATTTTAAAAAAAACTACGGTGGTAATTTTATCAGGTATCACGTACAAGCAATTTTCACAAACAGGAGATGTGAATGCCCCCAGGTGAAAGACAAATCACTTTTCATGACACACAAAAAGAGAGAGAAAGATCTGTGATCAACAGGAGAGAGTGAATCCTGTAGAAGGGGGCCCAGCCTCATTGCGAGCAATGGATGATGATAATTACGAAGTGACTTCACAGTTTCTCCTTGGTTGGAACCCAGATGTAAGGCCCTGATTGATCCTCAATAATCTGCTTCACCTGATTGTAAATCTCCTCCAGTAAGTCTCCCTGTACAATACCTGATGAAAGCAGAAGCAGGAGTCATTATTTGAAAGCTTGGATCTTTTCCACCTTTTACCTTTTCATCAAAGGCAAGATTGCAAAAGGAAAAAACAACACCGGATATTTTAAATTAAAATAAAATCAGAAAATTCTGGAAATAGACCAACCAGCAACCATAAATGATACAAAGATTGGTAACTGAATTCTGCTGGAGTTCCCACTCAAAATTTCGTAAGTTGTCTCTCCTCTTTGTATTGGCTCACTGACTGGTTTTGAATAGTCTCTTTTCTGGTTTTATTTCAAAACACCAGAAGGAACTGGGAGAGAATATGTTTTGCCTCAAGGATCCTGGACTCTATTAATTCAAACTTGAGAGATCATAAAATAGCCTCTCTCTCAACGTATGATTCCATGTGAATTTGTGGTTGAAGAACTTAATCCGAAACAGTACTTTAAAGGCTAGAACAGGGGATGTAGATTAAAATGTTTGAAAGGATTTGAAAAAAAAAATATCAGATGTCAGGAAAAAATTCACATAAAAGTGACTAACATACAACAGAGTGAGACAAATTATTACAACATGAGCCCTTATTAACAAGGATGAAGTAGGCAATTCTTGGTTGACTTTAATGAAGCTTTCTCGACATTTCATTTGTAAACCATCTGACTTTTGTCTAAGTGAAAATAACAGTATAATTTTAGGCATTCATTATAGTTTAATCACAGAGACAGTTATCACAGGAGGTAATACAAGACTAACTTGTGAAATGTTCCGTAAATTCCAGTTCAAGTTTTATAGCTCTCTCAAAAGTTTTTCTTGCTTGATCTTCTGTTAATCGCTTATTCATTTCCCTGAAAAGGAAGAAAGTAAAAGCCTTTATTCGCAGTGTGTGAAACAGCTATACTCAGTCCAAAAAAAAGTCCATTTTTACACAGGGCAGATAAAGAATACAGAAATGTTAGTGTTGTAAAGCAGTGCCATGGGCAATCTAGTAGGCCCCAGAATTAAGAAATACTAAACACTGATAATATCCTTTTTTTGGCTTGACTGCTTCTTTACCTTCCCAAAGTTACATGAACTGATGTACAATAGTTATTATTAAAGTTCTGCTTGAGATTTTAAAGCCCATCTATCCAAAGCTATAGTCAGCAGATGTTGCAAGACCAATTTCCCATAACTTACCATAACCTAAATCAGTGTCATGTGAAACTAACGGGGAAAGATAATAGAACTCAAACTCTGGACTTGACGGTAACACACAGGAACTTGCAACTGTTTAACACCATCAACAGGGGAACAGTAGCAATGCAAACAGATTTCTGGGTCAGTCTTCCTAATTCCATCTATCCTCCCTGTCCTGGTGCTGAACAGGACCAGCATTTTGCAAGCATGCTGTGCAGTCCAGCCCTTGGAGTGTGAACACTTTTTGTCCTGGTCTATCAAAATCATCCGTACGCACACTTGATGCAGTCCAACTCTAGCATGGCTGAACAGTGGCAGAAAGGGACTTTGGAGGAGGGGACACAATTTGAGTCCAGCTTCAGCCCTCTCTGATTTAGACAGGACAGGCAGCAGATCCTAAAGATTTACTCACTAAGTAAAAACAAATTTTAAATTTGCCATCATCTTTGGCCCTCCTTCCAGGCTTTCCATGTCTGCGGAGGAGACAGTTCATGCAAACCCACCTTCACTTGAAATAAGGCACCTCTAGATAAGCATGACTCAACCTATGGGAAAAAATGCAGAGAGCTGGGTCTGACCTGCAGTCTCTTGGGCATTCTTTCATTGTCACTGAGTCAAAATCCTGAACTTCCTTCTTAACAATATTGTAGGTGTACCTACCTGCCTCTGATTGCTGGGGTTCAGAAGGGGGCTATGCACCACTTTCCCAAGTGCAATTCAGAACAGGTAGCAAACGCTGACCCAGCCAGGGAAGTTTGCATCCCATGAATGAATAAAATAATAGCTACATCAGGCCCAGGTGCTGCTTCTGAGGGTCACCACAGAAATGTTGGAGAAATGTAAAATATGGATAGCGATCTAATAGAAGTTTTCAAAAGAAAAAGCTCAGCAAACAAAGTAACTGTGTGGTTGTATTTTGCATATGTTTTTGTTCAGCTCACATCATCAATCCAATCTTCCTTCTCAATGCTATGGGCCACCAAAGCTTTAGCATGAATGGTGCAGAAAAACAAAAAAAAAACAACTTATTTGAACAGCATTGATGTCCTTAGAATTTAATACTAAACAAGCTGTCAAATTTGTTTAACAATGTTGAATCAGTACCTGGCCAGATGGGATCACCTTTTTGCTGATTTAAAAAGAAACGAGATTCCAAACTATAACATTTTTAATCTTAGGAGCACTGGGCTCAGATTCTGAATGCAGAAGCCGATAACAAATGGTCCATCTCACTTATTGGATCTCCCACCCTATAGTGAATTTTGTTTCCTTACAAAGCAGTGCCGGAGAATATAATACCAATAATTTCGCGATAAGGTAAATGCCTCAGATAGTTTTAACAGCAAGTTGTTGCAACTGCAAATCAGGATCCTTGATGGCACCAGTTGAGATTTTGTTTGAAGTACAGGGCATAGAGTCCCAATTTGAGCTTTATTGCAGCATATCTGATCTTTACCTGTTGAAACCAGATTCAGGTGGTCCATAAATAAGAGATAATTATTAACAGTTTGGGTGAGATCTGAACTAATTTCTGAGAAGTGCTGCGGGCATTGTGTGTCACCCAATGCAGCTCAAATAGAATTCACTTGCTGCGTTGAGGGTGAGATGTTATTTGAGTAGCTTGAGGATATGGCCACAGTTAACCCAAGTTAACTCCTTGAAAGCTTTGGTGGTGCTTTTGGAGATAGAAAATGTTCTAAGGAAAATAAGTCATACCCCCAAAACGAATTCTGAAAACCTTGGTCTTAGAGGCTGTAGTCTGTACTCACATGATGTTTTCAATTGATTTTGGTTTGACGAAGATAGCAATTGGATGTAACTGGGCTATTTGAAGCCTCTTAATTGCATTTCCTGAAACATCGAGGATACAGTGTTTACCCTAAAGAACAAACAAAGGGAGATATTAGGGAAATGTACCAAACTTATACAGAAGATTTAGATTCTATGTTGTTCAAAAGGTATATGTTTACATATTCATGGTTTGATAAGATAGTCTGCATTTTGATCAATTTAGCTCAATTGTAAAGAGTTGCTTAGCACTACAATAACAGTAATGCACTATTAGTGGATACATTTTCATTGTTAACAAATATCATATTCTGCTGTGCATGTGAACAACACATTCTTCAAATAGAGGGCACGTGTTAAACTGGTTTATTTTAAACGATACCTTTATGGATATCCTTTACCTTTTCTGCTACCTCTCTTACAGACTGCACGCTGGTGCCATACAGGTGGTTGTTGTATTGTCCAGCCTCAATAAATTTGTGATCTTGAATGTCTTTTTCCATTTGCTCTCTAGATGTAACAAAATGATAGTCTCGCCCATCAACTTCATAATCACGCTTTGGTCTGGTTGTATCTGGAGAAAGCGAAACACTTCCATCAAACCATTTATGCTTTCCTTTTCTCTGCAAATGTTTGTGTGTCTGGTAATTCACAATCAGCTTTCAAGAAGTTGCACCGGAGATTTAACAGTCAGTGTCAGGATCCACACCTCACAGATCAGACCTCTGCAGAATAAAGCGCCCTTCTCATTGCCCAAGCCCTGATCTTACAAAGAACCTCACTGACAGCTTCTATTTTTCATACCAGCCACATTTGAGGTTTAGCGCCAAGTATTGAATCATCAACAATTCCTCAGCCGATTCAGGTCTGCTTGAGGTGAAGTTGAAACAGTTCAAACAAATTTAACTTATTACTTCTATGTGCATCAGTAGAAGGCAATGTTTCCATCAGTCTGGCATTCTTTCAAATCTTGCATGAAATGGCAATAGCTTGAAGCAATTTATTAACCAACTCCCTCTGTTGAACTATTAGCACTTCAGAATTTATGATTCTTGCTTATAACATTATTAGCTCACTTCAATGTGACTGGCAGTTGACTGCGCTCTGAAATGACCAAGCAAGCCACACGTTGCAACAATCTATAGACTGTAACAGTTTAAAAAGGTGATCTAGCATTACCTCCTCCTGTGGGAAGGCAGTGATATTGTGATATTGTTGAGTGATATTGTTAGCCTAACCAGTGACAGCAATAAGGTGAAAAGGAACAGTGAAAACATTTATTTCAAAAGATGTGGACTTCAAATTGAAGTTGGCAGAGCCATTGTACAGTTTCTGAATGCAAGGGTAAAGCTGCAATGTGGAGAATAATTGAGGCATTGGAGCATATTTGCAAGCTCAAGACCATTATCTCACTATACAGACTGATATATTCAGTACTTCAGCTGCTGTGCTCTAATGCAGATATTAGCATTTCCTAGATTTGAGCAGTCTAAGGAAATTAATGGTCACTTGTCAGCCAGACAACTGGAATGTGAAGCAATGATCACTAAGCAGTAGTTTGATTGTATCTTGGCTTCTAATAATTAAATACATCAATTTAAAGGAATTACACCAATAAAAAGATCTCATGATCTACAACATTTGAAAGGAGAGGTTAGAATGAAAGAGTTGATACATTCTGCTTAATTTGCTTATTATCCTAAAATGTAAAAGAGATATTTAAAACTGTAACCGGAGCCTCGTTCAATATCTTGCTTTATCACAAGGATCCAATTGTTGAATAGATGTAATCTGGGAACAAATGCTTGTACAGAACTTTGTCTCACCTCAGAGAGATGTCCTACAAGTGACATTAAGTAGTTAGCAGTTTGACTGTGACACATTAGTTAGAGTGGAGATATTTCCCCTTATAATAGCCAATTCAGCAGAAAACTCTCTGACCTTTGCTTATATTCTAAGTAATTTAAATGACAACAATAATGCACATACGTGGAACACAAGATCCAAATTTGTCTGGAAACTCCGAGATCAGATCATCATTAATTCGATCTTTCATGGGTCCCAGAATTATAACAGGACGAGAGTAACGGACTATATGACAAAAACAGAAACACAGTTAGATCAAGTAAACACGTTGAAATGTTTGATACATTCCTACAGCAGTAGAACCTAGCTTGGGGCATCAGCCTTAACCTATATATTTTGGCAGCAGTTACAGACATTCTTTTGTAGTAGTCATTAAGGTTACTTTTGCTTTCAACAAAAATTTGAACATTTCCCATGCACCATTAGACATATAAAGCCACACTCCTATTAAAATTATCTGGCTAATCCTAGAACTGAAGTTAAGTCTACAACCCTTTACCAATCGGTGGACAGACTTCAAATACCGAGACAACAAGGTGCAGGGCTGGATGAACACAGCAGGCCAAGCAGCATCATAGGAGCAGAGAGGCTGACGTTTCGGGCCTAGACCCTTCATCAGAAAAGGGGGAGGGGAAGAGGGTTCTGAAATAAATAGGGAGAGTGTGGGAGGCGGATAGGTGGAGAGGATAGGTGGAGAGGATAGGTGGAGAGGATAGGTGGAGAGGAAACAAACAGGTCGAAGAGGCGGGGATGGGGCCAGTAAAGGTGAGTGTAGGTGGGGAGTTAGGGAGGGGATAGGTCAGTCCAGGGAGGACGGACAGGTCAAGGGGGCGGGATGAGGTTAGTCGGTAGGAGATGGAGGTGCGGCTTGAGGTGGGAGGAGGGGATAGGTGGGAGGAAGAACAGGTTAGGGAGGCAGGGT